GGCTTGCGAGGAAGTCTTTGATCAGTGCGAAGAGACTTGTTTCTTGGCGATCGACGATGAAGAAAGACCAGTTGATTGTAATGCTTTATCTGATCCAATTGAGCTAGCCAGATGCGATACATTGGTTCAGCCAAACGGTTGTAATTGTTGCCCAAAGGAATGTACATCAAACAATCCCATGTTGACTACATCACCCGATGGACGGCCTCCAGCTTGCTCGCCAACGATAATGCCAACAGTGTCTCCATCTGTGGTGACGTCTCTTCCACCATATACATTCAAGCCCACTGCAGTTTCTGATGTTTGCAATGAAGATGAGGAAATCATCTCCTACTATCAACATGGGAATAACAGGGCCCCACCTCAAGTGCCCATTTATGCTGTCGAATTTGGAATCGATGGTTCTGATAAGACAGTTTCTTTCAAGGTTTTCAATCCATTTCAAGACACTCATGATATCTTTGCGCATTATGAGACTGTTGGATTTGGAAGTATGCAGTGCGGAAACAACAGGAATAGTGACAGCAACTATCAAAATGATGTTTCGGTGACTGCAAAATGCAATTCGAACTCTCAAGCAATTGTGCACATTTATGCTGTAGGCAAAGAGGCCAGAAATACCAAACGCAACGCCAGCATGACAAGTGTTCCCGAGTGTTGTATGGCCGATGTTGACGACCAACTGCTTCCAGAAGACACTGTCATTTGGACGTACGCAGTTAACTGTGAATGCGAAAAGAAACAAGAAGATTGTTTCTGCAAACCTTAGAAAAATCCCAACCAAAGATGCACAATGTACTTATAATCTTACATATTTAGGAAAAAAACATTAAGAAATCAATTGGTATGGTCTCGTGTTGTTGTTACTCCATCTTTCATTCGATACTGCCCTGTTTGCAATCTATGTGTGTTTGTGTGTATCCGTCAAATACCAACAATGAATGAATTCGGAAAACGATGAGATTGAAGACTGGACATTGTAGCAGCATTTCAAAACTTTTCTTACAGTATTTCATTTTAGGAAGGATTCGGGAAAAGAAAATGATTGTGAAGCTTCGTACTTGTTGTCACTATTGAATAAATTACTCTAACGTAGACGAAAGCTTGAGAACGAATCATTGGATTCCTTTCATCATACTGACGACGGTCGAACGACCGTCACAACAGCATTGCTCAGCAACACCAAGTCCGATCAGTTTATCGAACTTGTGTGCGAGTATACGTCAAGAAATAAGGTTTATTTCTTTCTTTGAATACTCTCGAATCAAGTTCTTCGGCGTCCTCGGCGAAGATGCGATCTACGAAAACTGCCTGTGTCTGTTGTCGTCCCACGCACTTTCACACTTGACCTTCAGTGCTCCTCCGTCTTCAAGTTTCGATTCATTTCGATGCGGCGCTATGAAAAGTTTTGCTAGAACTAAAAAAGCCCCTTTTCTACGTACAGGTACGTGTGCCGTAGAATAGTCACACATGTAGATGCAATCATTTCCCGCAGCGCATTGCCATCCATCTATATAGGGATGATGCATCGAGATACATCTTGCTGAAGGCCTGGCCCAAAGCACTTCACTCGAGAGCCTTACCTTTCTCTCAAACGATGATGATGATTATGATCACCTTGACATACCAATTGAAGACATCAGTGAAGTGCTTGTGGATGGTATTGTGAGGAACACTACTATTCGAAATCTCGAACTCAAGTCTGGCAATCCTACGGACCACAAACTCTTTCCGCGCCTCATGAAGTCGCTTCAGCGGTACCCAAAAGAGCTGGAATTTTTGGACATGTAGGGTCAACAGCTTACATTGGACCATCTCAAGGACTTGGCCGACTATCTTGGTCACCAAAAGTGCTCTGTGAGAGCGTTTAGGATCCATAATTCAGAGTTTTCCAAGTGTCCGCGAGACTTGTTTTGCAATGTAAAGAACACTTCAGTGGAAGCCGTTTACCTCGACGAAGTTGGTGGTGCAGGTGGTTGGGACTATTTTGTTTCTTCGGTGTGTCCTCAGCTTTCACAGCTCTCTGATTTGGACTGTTGCCATCATTCCGTTGTCACAGATCTAGCGCCGCTAGATGACCTTTTGTGTACTAAGAGTGCCCTACCAAACCTTTCGTGTTTGGCACTGGATTTTAACGAATTGGAGGAAAAGGCTTTTTCGGTTTTTGCTTCCGAGCTCCCGCAAATGGAACACCTTCGCAAATTGCTCATTTATGATGGTGCCTTTCTAGATGAGGACCCTAAGCAAACTGGATTCTTTCATCAGGTTTGCTGAGAAAAGCAAGAGCCTCGGAGTCAATCATTTCTGTTCTTTGTTTGATCATCCTACGGGAGCTGATTTGCTTACGGTTCTAAATTTGAATAAAGCTGGACGCCGTGGGCTGGATTTGGCATCAGGTGGTGGACCACTCAACGTCAAGCTTTGGCCACTGATTCTAGAACGCTGCCTCAAGGTGAAGTACGTCACTAATCTTGTTGCGGAGTATTGTATGAAAGGAGAGTGAACATGACAAGATTGCAAGCAACAATCATTCTTGGTTCTTCGAGATCATGCTTGCTTGCATGTTCGATGCAATACGAGAAGTATCCGTTCGACGAAATCCACCTCGAGGCGAAACGGAAAAAACCATACTGAATAAATGAATTGCACGAAGCTACCAGTCCTAATGCTCTCGTCAAACTAGTTCTATGGAATAGAAATGAATCAATATAAAAGCATACACAGATATATATGTATCTTAGTCCGGGTTCCTGTCCATATACAGTGGTCGGTGCTTTCGGAGCATAACCCTGTGACTGAGGAACGAATTACAGATTGGCTTCGACATGAACACGATTTCTTTGTGCGCGGTTGCAGGAAGCTCTTTTTTAGAGCTCCAAAATGACTACCCTGACCACTTTCATTGGACGAATTTTTTGATCGAAATGTAAATCTGCCGGTAATTGAAAATATATATACCGCAGTACCTACACAAATCCCATACTCGCCAATGAATTCCGATGAAACGATGAGCAAAAATCTGACACTGCCATTCGCCGAAACACAAGAAGCAAACAACCTGGGACCTCCAGCAGTCTGTCTTCTTGCATGCACTGTTCAAACAATTGCCTTGAATGCCGTGTGTCTAATTCGAATGAACGAATGAATGAATGAATCCTTTACATTCCACGACCATTCACAGCAGGCTTTGGACATGACGCATAACTCGTTCGGCACTATCTGGAAAGCATCAGGCTGCCAACAGATGATCGATGATGCAGCACCCGTGTCTTAGCTGTATCGTTGCAAGTATCAGTGCTTACGGCATGATACGACAAGGCACGATACGAACCTTCCACTGTGCGAGATCGAGAACTGTATGAGAGACCTTTTCCAAGAGAACAAGTCAAGACAGGCGATGCCTTTCTTGACCAATTTATTGATCCTTTTCTCCAATCCATTCCAGAGCTCGAGTCGATGCTACTCAGACAAGGTTGATAATGGTGCCATTCAATCAATATAATTCATAAACATATCGGACGGAGCATAAGGACCGAACTGGCCGGAGGGCAATAACTTTTTGAAGACGACAGTTCGGAAGTATTCTCCATGCTGCTTCGTTTTTGGGGACTGATTGGTTGATGCATTCGTTCGAACGATAATGGTAGCAACCGTAGAAGAAAAAGAAGAAACAACTTGCTCAGACGTTCGAAGTATCCTCTTTCGACCGGAGCTCCGTCGAGGCAAACGATTTTTCATCCAGACTTTGCAGTTGTTTCACATGCTCTACGATATTCTGTAACCCGAGAATCGTTCAATGAGCGATCCAACCATCCATTTCCTCTGTGCAATGAAATAATGGAGAGGAGCAACCGTCTGATTCCAACGACAATGTGAGCTGGACCCACCAACAAGAAGCTTTTGATACATGAAACAGAAGAGTCATCTTTTGATATTGGATTATGCTATATTCATTGAATCAATCAACAATCAATCGATCAATCAAGTGTCTATCCCTTCTGAAAGCAATATTAGTAGGAAGGACACGAGTGATGATATGGTTTGTGTCCAAAGGCAGCTATGGCAACTTTAGAGTTGACTGAATGACGACCTTGTCAACTGATATGAACATGACACAACGATTCGATATTAAAGCATTTTAGTATCAATATTACTTTAGTACGATGCTCATTGAAATATAGTATTGAAGTCTCACCTCCTACCGGTACTGTAGGCTCCAAATCAAGACAATCTATATAAAAAAATCTTCAACAGTGCCCTCACAACTAAATCACTCCTTGTTTGTTATCCATCAAATAGGTATGACTACAGTGGAAACTCGCCTGAAGTAGACTGCAAGCAAGAAGAGTACCCTAGCTAGTTCTCTGAAACCCGCAATGAAGTCCTCCCTCCTGCTACAGTAGGAAGGGTAGTCACCCAAACCTGCGGGTACTCTCCAGTCGTGGTGCGCGTTGGTGTCAAAATTCCAAAAATACCCAGATCTGATTTCAACGGCTAGGATTTTAGATGACACGTGCCGAAAAGAACTCGCGCACCGCTGCTTTCATACGGGAACCTGTGGTAGTGTACGGGACTGCTTTATTACGTGCGCGAGTTGCGAGTAAAATATTCGACGATTATTTGACCGGCAGACTTGCTCGCCAGCAGGATGCGCGATGAATTCACATCACATTTTCGTCAAAATGTGGAGACCCAACGGATACTAGTCTTCTTGCCTGCCCTTGTCAAGACACACAATTCGAATCAACAGGTTCTCGTCAACAAGAGTTCGAGAAAACAACCACCACTCAACACAAACAAATACAAACACACAAACAATACAAACTTAGCTACCATGTTCGGAACAAAAAAGTTTCTACTATTGCTATTGGCCGTTGTGCTGATGGTTGGATCCATTGATGCCGCTGCAGTCCCCGAAAGAAAATTGAATTCAAAGAAGGAAGAAACAGAGGCCACCAAGGCTAGCTCATCGAAGTCATCTAAGAAGAGTGCTGCCATGCACCCTACACCCCCCGAGCATCCAATGACTGAAGCACCCAAGCCCACTGATGCTCCGATGACCCATCCTCCTATGCCTTCCGCCGCACCCGAGCACCCAACTACTCCAGCACACCCAACTGCTCCAGCACACCCCAAGGGTAGCAAGAAGGGAGGAGACTCCAGTGGAAAGGGATCCGGAAAGGGAGGATCTGGAAAAGGAGGATCCGGAAAGGGAGGATCTGGAAAGGGCTCCAAGAAGTCTTCAAATGATGATGGAAAAGGAAAGGGAGGAAAAGGAAAAGGAGGAAAAGGAAAAGGAAGCAAGAAGAGCAGCAAGAAGATGGGAGGTGACGGTGATGATGGTGGTAAGATCAAAATGCTCTGTCAACTTCAGGATCAAAAACCGATTAATTGCTAACTATTTCCTCTTCCATAGGTGTCGATCCACATGCCCCAACTCCTGCACCCAATGGTTCCGGCTCCAACGCTACTGCATCTCCAACTTCCATGGATTCTTTCGCCGTTCGCCCAGCACCCTATGCTCTGTACTACACCTTTGACAACGATTCTGTTGGTGACGCAACTATTGATCAGTTCAATGAACTTGCTGATCTCACCAGAACTTTCTTGGACGAGTACTTCACTGACAAATATGGGCAAACAAGCATCATCGAGCTTGATGATTTCCTCACTTTCTTGACTAGAAGCGATGCTACAACTCGACCAGCTATGGCTGTCTACCGATCTGTAGCAAGATTCAACCCCCGATCAATCTTCTATCCCCCACGATCTGAGATTGAGTCGGAGATTGAACTTGCCTTCACCGAACCTGCCAGCCAATTGGCATACTTGAAGAAGTTGTCCGATGACTTGCCAACAGGGAATCCTTTCAAGACAGTTGCTTCCATTAGATATGGAGAGCCTGCTGACAGTGATTCCGTCGCTGCATCAAGCGTTTCTGGATTTGCGACTGCCGGCATCGCTGCTGCAGCAGCTGGTGTTGTTGTCCTTGTTGCAGGTCTAGCTTTGTTGAGCCGAAACCGCAATGGAGGCGATGAAGATGCCAGTGTTGAAAGCTTCCCTCCAAAGGCCTACAAGAAGTCTTCTGCAGGATCTGTTGCCGGTGAGACTTGCGCAGGTACCACATGGAGATCAACTGTGAATGAAGAAGAGCTTCAAGACGAACCTCTAGATGACGCGCCAAGGCAGCATACGTCGAAATTGAATGCCGAATACTGATTTTGCTTTGCGCAGTGATATATGTACCAGTCTAGAAAAAAGCATGTTCATTTATTAATACTCCTTTTGTATCGACTCTAAAATTGTATATCATCATTTTGTTGTCGTGTTCGTACCATGCCATACCAGCATGATGCTGCCAGTAGCCCAATACATGCATTTATGACCGTCGGGGATTCCTCATTCCACATCAAATCAAAACATGCAAAGCAATCAATGGCGATTGAAGTATACATATGCTTGTAATTTGATGGGATGGTGGCCATAGGACGTAGCAGATTGGCATGAAAATCGCCAAACTCATCATATGGTTGTATCTTACGAGTAGCTTATTGCCAAAACACGTCTTGAAATCCTCTCTGTCTCTAAGTAAACCCCGAATTTGGCACTAATCCAGTCTTGTAAACATCGGCATCAAAATCCACTCCAAATCCTCACAAAATCCGACATAAAAAAGAAACCACAATTCAAATCGTTACAACTAGAAAAGACAATGATGCAAACGAAATCGGTACTTGTTACTCTGCTCCTTACCGTGCTTATTAGCATCACGATTGCTGCCTCCGATCGTAGAAATGTGAGGTCTGTGAATCTATCAGCTCGATACATCAACGGAGAAAGAGCTCTAGTAGAAAGCAGACAAATGGTCGAAACTGCCGGGACAACAGGGGTGGATAAAACGGAAGATGACGACGGTGCTACAGACGACGAGAATGGCGATGATGATGGCGATGACGATGCATTTGACGACGATGTCATGAAGAACACTAAGCGGCAAGGTGGAAGCAACAGCACCAGCGCTGATTCCGTGTTCAGAGGCAAAGGAAGCAAAGAATCTAAATATAGCGGCCCATCAAAGAAGAGTAAGAAAATGTCTTCCAAGGATGACAACAGGCTCAAGGCGTCAAAGAGAGGTAAGTCTTGTTGAAACTTCGTACATGTTATCGCAATGCAAATTCTTACATGTCTATCACTCGATCGATCAATATAGGCTCTGCACCAACCAATACCCCGGGAAGTCCTACCACAGAAACTCCAACACATTCTCCAGACGATTCTGCAGCTAGTCCAGCAGATGGCCTCCCAGATGATTCTCCAACCGTCAGTCCGGAGGGTTCTTCCCCAACAACTGCTTCTACAGAGGCTCCCGCTAATTCCCCTAGCACTTCGACAGAGGCTCCCGCTAGTTCCCCAAGCAATCCGACAGAGGCTCCTGGTGGTAACGATGGTGATGCTCCTGTAGCCAGTCCCGATGGTGACGATGGTACCAATGGTACCGATGATGACGCAGCGAATGATCAAACAGATGGAGCTAGCACTCAGTCGGTGGAGGTCCCAGCTGATACATTCCGACTATTCTACACTCTCGCCGAGTCTAGACTTCCTTCTACCGAAGAATTCCAAGAGCTGGCACAAATCACAAGCACTTACTTGGAAGAATATATGCGTGGTGCCTTTGGAGACGGTCTCGAGATCTTTTCAACCTTCATGATTTTCCAAGAGTTCCGAATTGATCAACCTGCCCGATGCGACTACCGATCCGTTGGAACTTTCAAGGGAGATTTTGATGATATTCCCAGCACTGCCGATCTCAACAACATGATTGCTTCAGCATTCTCAGGCCCCAACTTGCAGGGATACTTGGCTCGATTAGGCAGCCTTCCTGGTGGCAATGTATTCCAAACTACAACTGAAGTTGGACAAGAAGCAGAAGCTCAGTCTGAAAGCGATAGCTCATCATCCGGAGCGGCAGCAGCCGCTGGAGCTGGTGCACTTATACTGCTGGCAGGAGCCGCACACGTTGCTAGACGAAAGCAGAAGAAGCAACAAGGAGAAAGTGATGCCGATGATGCGGACAAGCTCAATGGTGAAGGATCTGATGCAGGCACCATTGGAGCTGAAGGCGATGAATCTACGGCGGATGCATCGCATTGATAAGAAAGGGAGTAATATATAAGTAGAAGAAATGTGAGCGTTATTTTATGAAGGTATTCTTTTCTCCAATTCTCCCAAATCTAATGTCTGGACATGGTCGTCCGTCGCTCGAACGTCAAATTTTGTCGTAGGTAAGTTTCCTAGTACATTGTCTATACGGTAGTCCTCGTACAACCGCGTGCGAATGGATGACGACGGCATCGACAACAAAAACGAGCGACACAATAACAAAGGTCAAGTGCCGTGCGTTGAACAAATAACAAAGATGTCTCCTGCACCACAAACAACCATCTGGCGTATTGCTGGAATGACTTATCTTCAGGTGAGATAGGATTTTGCGTCAACTGATTGGAGAGAAGGACGAGACAAGGTTGAAATGGATGTTGGGTGTTGGAAAGATGCCGATGAACTTTTCGAATACTTCGACTCACGCCACTTATTTTTGTTGTTGCTGTTGTTGTTGTAACAAATGATCAACACTTTGTTCAATTTGCAGTACGTCAACCGAGCTGCTGGATCTGTCAGAAGCGCAGTAAAGGAACCCATGAAGAGCAAACTAGCTGCCCACGGAGAATTCTCTTACTCAGCAGCAGCATGGAACGCTGGAGTACAAGGCGCCAAGACGGAAGTCACCGTTTTGGGAGCTGCCGGAAAGGCCACATAAACACTAGCAATATAGTACGATGTTTACTCCATGCTTTTCATCTTTTCATTTGGACTGTTTTGTACTCATGTAGCAGAATGGAAATTCGATGGATGGCCGAATGCAGTTCAATCACATGTTTGAGTGTAAGTATTTCATGTTTGCTCTCTGCTTCGTATTATGAGCTGCTTCGCAATGCCGCCAGCGAACGAATACGAAGGCAACAAATACTCGAAAGGAGACAGACATGTAAGAAATACAAAAAACAACGAAAACAAAAAAGAAATACATTGACGAGTTGTTTTATTCTAATACATTGTAATGATTTATTGACTGATACATGTCGCTTTATGACTATTGTTTGTCTACATTTTCAATTCCATCACCGTGGAATCGTCGTCTATTATTTTCCCCTTACTTTGTCGTCCATCCAACAGTTGGAATTTCGTAGTACTCCTTGAGATGTCTAGGATGGAAGTTAGACTCCTTCCCGTATCCAAGATCCAAGCAGAGAATAAGTTCAATTCCGCACTTGATATTGGTAACAAGAGCAGTTCCAAAGTCAACAGTAGCACGGCGCATCAAGTAACCAGCAGTGATTTCAGATGATCGAACAGTGGCGTCAGTGATGTTGATGACCAAGTCAATCTTTCCGTCCTTGATGTATTGAACAGCGCTTTCGGGATTCTCATCATCCTCGCTTGTTGGCTTCTGGACAAGAATCAAATCGACATTCAGGTTCTTCTTGTAATATTCAGCAGTTCCAGGAGTGGCATAGACCTTGTATCCAAGCTTCAACATAATCTGAAGGGATTCTGTGAATTCCAAACGCTTGGGGTCGGAAGCGATGGAAAGCAAGATGGATTTGTTCTTGGTGGGCAACTGGAAGGTGGTGGACAAGAGAGCTTGGATGAAGGCTTCGTGCTGATCTTGCCCAAAGCATGCCACCTCACCAGTGGAAGCCATCTCCACACCAAGGTTAGGATCAGCGCCACGAAGACGAGTGAAAGAGAACATGGGAGCCTTGACACAGACGTAGTCAATATCCAAAAGAGAAATCTTGAATGGCGTGACTTTCAATCCAGTCATGGCTTGAGTAGCAAGAGAGATGAAGTTATGGTTCAAAGTCTTGGAAACGAATGGGAAAGTACGACTGGCACGCAAGTTGCACTCAATACATTGGACTTGGTTGCCCTTGGCCATGAATTGGATGTTGAATGGACCGGTGATTCGAAGCGCCTTGGCAATGAGAGAAGCGTTCTTCTTGACTTGCTTGATGGTTCCAACGTAGAGCTTTTGTGCTGGAAGAACGACTGTGGCGTCTCCACTGTGTACACCGGCATTCTCCAAGTGCTCTCCAATAGCGTAGTTGAGAATTTCTCCCTTGTTCGCAACCGCATCGAATTCGATCTCCTTGGCATCCTCGATGAACTTGGTAACAACAACAGGCTTGTCTCCAGAAACATCAGCAGCAAGTCCCAAGAAGCTGGTCAATTGGGTCTCGGTAGCGGCCACACGCATAGCCGCTCCAGACAAGACGAAACTTGGTCGGACCAAGACTGGGTATCCAACACGGTTGGCGAATGCCACAGCTTCCTCCGTCGAGTTCAATACAGACCATGTGGGTTGATCGACATGCATGTTATCCAACATTCTGGAGAATTGGTCACGATCCTCGGCACGCTCAATATCAGCGGCATCGGTTCCCAAAATGTTGGCTCCACTCTCGTGCAAGGAACTGGCAAGGTTGTTGGGGATTTGTCCCCCGACAGAAACAACAACACCGAAGGGGTTCTCGGATTCGTAGATATCCATAACACGCTCCAGACTCAACTCCTCGAAGTACAAACGATCGGATTCATCGTAATCGGTACTGACAGTCTCGGGGTTGTAGTTGATGATGATACTCTTGAATCCATCACGTCTCAATTGACGGATACACGACACAGCGCACCAATCGAATTCGACACTTGAACCAATGCAGTAGGCACCACATCCGAGGACGATGACACCACGTTCCTTGGCGGAGAGCATTTTGTTCTCGCTGTAACCAACAGACAGAGCACGTGCACGTTGTTGAAATGTAGCTGTGTCGACGCGGCTTTTGGTCAAGATAGAGCTTCTATATGCTGGGACAATAGTCTCATCTTGCGAGTCTTGTGACATAACGGAAACATCGTTAGTGTCTCCGGAGTAGGTCATGTACAAGTAGTTCGTTTGGGCAGGGAACTCAGCAGCCAGAGTATCGATTTGCTTGACAACGGGAAGGACACTGTATCTCTTTCTGGTCATGCGAACCTCGTTTTCTCCACTGAGTCCTTCGAGTCCAACGTAGCGGGAGATCTGATGTAGTAGGAAATTGTGTTAGAATGTCCAAACTCTGAAATTGAAGCGAGAAAAAGAAACAGAAGGAATGCTTACCTGACGATCACTGAAACCAGCTCGCTTCAAAGCAAGAAGACGTTCTCTTGGTTGTTCATCAGTCAATTTATCAAGACTTCCAGCAGTCTTACATGCTTTTCTCATATCGGCAATGTTTTGAAGCTTAGACAAAAACCACTTGTCAATCTTGGTGAGCTCCCAAACCTTGTCGACACCCCAGCCCTTCTCAAGAGCAAGTTGAACAGCAAATAGACGCGTGTCGGTTGCTGTCGTCAATGCGGATTCAAGGTCAGCATCACTCTCGATCTGCTTCGAATCTTCTCCTTCCAAACCGTCAAGGCCTGGGTTGACCATTCTGCAGGCCTTTTGAATGACCTCCTCGAAGGTACGGCCAATAGACATGACCTCTCCAACGGAAAGCATAGAAGAACCAAGCTTGTTGCTGACTTGGCTGAACTTCTTCAAATCCCATCGTGGCATCTTCAAGACACAGTAATCAAGACTTGGCTCGAAGCAAGCAGTAGTTGTCTTGGTGATGGAGTTCTGGATTTGGACAAGGTTCTTTCCGAGAGAGAGCTTTGTTGCAACGTAGGCAAGGGGGTAACCTGTGGCCTTGGAAGCCAAAGCAGAAGAACGGGAAAGACGGGCGTTCACTTCAATAATACAGTATCTCTCACTGACAGGGTCAAGTGCGTATTGGATGTTGCACTCTCCAACAATTCCCAAGTGACGGACGACCTTGAGGGCAGTCTTTCGAAGCATGAAGTATTCTTTGTTAGACAAAGTTTGCGAAGGAGCGACAACAATGGAGTCTCCAGTGTGGATACCAAGAGGATCGAAGTTCTCCATGTTACAGACAGTGATACAGTTGTCACTGTTGTCTCTGACGACTTCGTATTCCAATTCCTTCCATCCTCTCAAATCTTGATCGATCAAAATTTGGTCGGAAGTGGCAAATGCCTTGGCAGCCATACTCCTCATTTCAGCTTCGTCAGCAGCGAAACCAGATCCCAATCCTCCAAGAGCAAAGGCAGCACGGATCAAAACTGGGTATCCGATCTTGTTGGCAGCTTCAAGAGCTTCGTCAATGTTGGTGGCACTGTAGGACAAAGCAATGGTCTCATTAATTTCAGCCAACTTCTGGCTGAAGATCTCACGATCCTCGGTAGCTTCAATGACAGGAATCTGAGTACCCAAGATTTCAACTCCGGCCTTTTGGAGGTCTCCGCTTTTCCAGAGCTCGATACCGACATTCAAGGCGGTTTGTCCTCCCATACTGACAATGATACCATCGGGCTTTTCCTTGTTGATGATGTCCATGACAACGTGAGCACGGATGGGCAAGAAGTAGACACGATCGGCTCCACGGCCGACTTCTTCCTTCTCTTGGGAAGTTTGGACAGTAGCAATATTGGGGTTGATCAAGATGACCTCAATTCCTTCTTCCTTCAAGGCCTTGATACATTGACTTCCAGAGTAATCGAATTCTCCGGCCTGTCCAATGGAAAGACCTCCACTTCCAACAAGGAGAACCTTCTTGTAGGTTTTGCGTTCGTATGGCTTGGTGTCTGCAAGGACCAATGGCATGGTCTTTCCTAGAGTCTCTCCGACGAACTTCTCGAACAAGAAAGCAGTATCCAAAGGACCTCCAGCAGCTTCTGGATGGAATTGGACGCTGAAGAATGGCTTGGTAGTGTGGATGATACCCTCGTTGGTTTGGTCGTTAGCATTGATGAAGAGTGGCTTCCACAATGTCGGAAGACTGTCAGAGTCGACAGCGAAACCGTGGTTCTGTGGAGTGATGTAGCACCGTCCAGTTCGAAGATCAACGCAAGGCTGGTTCATTCCACGGTTGCCGTATTTCAATTTGTAGGTCTTCGCACCAGCGGCAAGAGAGAGCAATTGGTTTCCAAGACAGATACCAAAGATTGGCTTTGGCTTCTCCAAGTTCAAGGCATACTTGATGGATTTGATGGTGGCTGCGCACATTTGTGGGTTACCAGGACCGTTGGACAAGAAGAGACCTTCCCATTCAATGTTGGAAGGGTTGGCCTCCAGGTCATAGTCGAATGGAACGACAGTCAATTCGACCTTGTTGTTGTCGACCAAGTACCGGATGATGTTGTATTTGATACCGCAATCGTATGCAATGATCTTGGGGGATTGACCCTTTCCGTAGGTGACAACCTCCTTGGTGGAGACTTCGGCGACAAGGTTTCTCTTGTTGGGGTCTTCGAACATGTCTTGGGCGATAGGACGTCCAAACTCTTCTGGCTTGACGGCAGATTCCTAATGGAAGATTGACGAAGGTGTTTGAGATGATTCCTTTGGTTGCAAACAAAATATGCTCCACATCAAGATACTTACGACCTCAAGTCTTCCAAGGATGGATCCATTCTCTCGCAACGTCTTGGTCAACTGTCTGGTATCAACACCATAGACAGCTGGGATATTGTTTTCCTTAAGCCAATCGCCAAGAGACTTCTGGGCATTCCAGTGAGAGTGCTCCCAAGAGTAACTGGACACGATCAATCCAGAGATGTGGATCTCCTTGCTTTCAAGGTGCTTGGGAAGACCGTGCTCGTCCACGACGCTTTCGTCGGGCACACCGTAGTTTCCAATCAAAGGGTATGTAAGGACAAGAATTTGGCCGCGATAACTGGGGTCGGTCAAGGCTTCAGGGTATCCAACCATTCCAGTGTTGAAGACAACCTCTCCTGTAGCGACGACAGGAGCTCCAAAGGAGTAAGCTTCAATTGTGTTTCCATTGGCCATGTAAAGTAGGGATTTCTCTCCCTAAGAAGATACACGAGTGACGGAATTGAGTTAAAATTAAGACCAATGAATGAATGAAGGAAGGAATCAATGTATCAATGTAGATGTAGATTGGATGAACCATGATTGGAACGTAAAGGATCAAAGAGAAAGTGAATTGGTGAATAAATGAACTTGATTTTCCGGAAAGATACTTGTCGTGATTGATTTGCCTGAGAACTTACCCTAGTGTTGAGGGATGCCATAGCGTCTGTGGAACTCATTGTGTCTTGTTTAGCTAGCTAAGTTGAGATGAGAGAGATGTTATGTGAGATATTGTGTGTCAATGGACTGCAGGATTGAGCACAGTCGGGATGTTTGGTCATCCATGGTCGTACCTTTGGCTTCTTTTTTCTTTTATGACGACGATTCTGATTTTGGATTCTCGCTCAAATCGGCATCAGATTCGCAAATGCACACTTTTCAGCGCCGTAAAATGAGTGGAGGGATCCAAAAAACTGGCGGAAGACAGACGACTTCTGAGACACGTAGTTTGAGACTTCTCAACGAAGCGATTTGATTGGTGGACACGATCAGATACTTCCTTTTGTAATTTCAAGTCGGAGTGGGATTTGAATTTTCGCGACACATCAGTACTGCACGATTTCTATTGACATCCTACCAGTACTGCCGGCAAAAAAAGAAGTTCCGATGCCGAGATACTTTACTGACGTCGCGACACTTCAACATATGATGGCGATGCTGATGTCGGCAGTCGGCAGTATATCTATTCCAGAACTAAAACATTGCATCTAGCCAAGACAAGGTCTATGCACGATGGTCGAATGCTACCGGTATGGAACCGCAATGGCTTGGAACGATTGATTGATTTATATATATATATTTTCAGTTTCCGGTCGATTTCCACGACAATCAAACGATGATGAAGAAGAATTCAACAGGCATTCCGTTTTGCGTCTCGTGGACTCTTCAGTCATTTATTTGCCTGATATCAGCAGTACTTGAGGGTTTGCCTACTTACCTAATTTATCTTGGAGCAAACGTCACGAAACTGTCGAATCTTTGTCAAAAACCGTCATTGCCATGTCAATTCAGATCTCGGCAACCCATTTAAGTCGTCAAGATTGTGACATGCTTCGGCTTCGCGATGAGGATTTCATTGTGATCAGAAGGCACAGTAAAATTGAAACAGTGAGAAACCATCGGTCATTTTTAGTGGCTGACGTACGTTACTTCTGTGGTTGTTGTTTGCCGTGAGCGACAGGGTTTCCGTCGTTCCGACGATGACTAATACCCTGCGGATTGTGATTCTTTGAATCGCTGAGAGAACCAATCGCAGTGAATGATCTGATTGAAATCCTCAGATTCATACTGGTCAGCTCTTCAGATATCATGCACGACATCGTAGGAACAAACCAATTTAGAGAAAGAAAAACATTCGACAGATATTGCACGATTCAAGGCGGTCCCATGTGTATACAGTACTGCGCTATACATCAGTGGCTCGGCTTCACGACCAATTTCTGAATGGAGTATAAATGGACTGGTCATATGCTCCTTCTGATGGTCCTATACTCGGTGGTATGTGTGAGTGTAGTGAAAACATAAATGACGACTACGACGACAGTTTTATATTTGCTTTCACTCATCATTGCTTTGGACGCATTCGAGGGATTTCCGCCGTTCCATATCTGCATCCTGGTCTTTCTTTTCAAATGCATCATCATGTGATTGACTCTGGGATTTGCTGCATTGACGATGGACTAGGTATACGTGCTTTACAATATTCAGATTCATGCTGGTAAGATGTTCAGATATCATCTGACACTCGACATTGAAGGAACAATCCAATTGAATTACACTGAATGATTCAAGACGACCCCATAGGCATACTGCGAGTGAGTCGAATGGAATATGATTGGGCCAGCGGTATGCTCTGATGGTCGTGGTGCTATCAGTTTGTCTGAACACTGATGACAAGACAATGGCGACTCGTCTCACATCTGCTGACTATGTCGCCTGTATTATCGTGTGATTCACTATGGGATTGCTGAATTGACAATAAAGGAAACACACCATACACAAACTACAATCAACCCATGTGATACCTGGAATCGAAGGATTCATTCGGCGTTCCGTCATTCTAAATGGATTATAGACTTCTTCGTATTTGTAACCAAGGCAGGTCTAGCTGATCTATTTTCTATTGAACCCGTTGAAATCCACTCCACAATGAACAAGTGAGACGAATCATCCATTCCTCCATTATTCGTCCATTCGTCCATCAGCTGGCATCAATTTCAGTCCCTACAGTACATTATGAGTTTCTAATCCGCACAGCTGATTTTGTATTGGTTCCTCTCGACGATTCTTCATGAATCTATTTTCTGCGAATGGTTGTTGCAAAATCTTTCCTTTTAGAAAAATAAAGAGCCAGCGCCAGAGAAACGACCAGCAATAAGAGTCATATCAATTTTTAACATCGACTAGCTAGAATGATTTCGTGTTGATGGTCTATTGGATTCTCCTAGATTGGTCGTGTCCCAATCCTCCCATCTAACACTTGCTCGAAATCCTACTCCCAAACATTGCACAAAGTATCCGAAAGTGACGAAACATCAGTCGGATGTTGTCGCTGCTAGAACATCATGTGCTAATGCTCTCGCTGACACAGTTTCTTCACTTCGCGCTCAGCTTTTGCCTTTTGCCTGTTGGCATCGTCGAGTTCTTTGCTGCTTTCGTTTTCTTCACTTCGCGCTCGACTTTTGCCTTTTCCTTGTTGGCGTCGTCGATTTCTTTGCTGATTTCTTTGCTGATTTCTTCCAAGCGTCGTTTTAGGTAAACCTGTTCCCGCTTCTTGCTTTCCACCTTCTCGTTCAGCTTTTTCAACTTGTGTTCGGGTTGGGTCAAAAGAGAACAACCCTTCGTGTGCAACCCTCACAAAACTTCGCGTCAGGGCAAGCTTCACAAGACCCACCCAAAACAATTGTCACAAAGTGTCTCCTCACATCCGTCGCATTGTTTGCCAATGCGGCAGGAGTATCACATTGTCCTCTCACATTCCTTGCACATGCCCCCTTCCTCCTCTTCGCGCTCATCTTCACACACCTCAAGTTCGCAAATCGAGCAAAACTGGTTATGGTACATGTAGCTCATGACGGAAGCTCCGATCATCGAGTGTTGCCTTGAAAGAGAAAACATCTTGGGAAATATATATGATTTGCATTTGGGAATATTAATAAGTGTAACAAAACCACGTTGATAAGGCTCAAACTAGGTTTTCAGAATCCCTGGTATTCGTTCAAATAAGTGTCATTTTTATTTTTCTGCGGTTTATTTTCCGCGCCTTTTCATTTTATTCGGATCCGTTGTCTGATTGCCAGGCAGACTCGTCACTCCGAAACACGAACATGCAGGACTCCTGCCTGAACATGTTGACCAATTTGATCAAAGAAATTGGATGTGCCACCTATAGAAGTTTAATAGTTGCAGTAGTCGTGGTGTTGTGCATTCGTCCTTCTCTTGTTTTGTAATCATGGCAAACCAAACCTATTCATCTGCAAAGTGGCCCGTCTTCTCTTCCCCGGGCAGCTTTGTAAAAAGATAGACTAGAATGATTTCGTGTTTTTGGTTCACTATTATTGCATTCTCTCAGACTGACAATGCATCTATCCTCGCGGCGAAACGTCCCCCTAACAAAATCATTCTCCCAAACACTGTATACAGCATCCGAAAGAGCCAAAACCTCAGTTGCGGCTGGCAGAACATGCTAGTGCGCTCGTTGGCGCAGCTTCTTCAGTTTGAGCTCGGCATTTGCCTTTTCCTCATTGGCATCGTCGAGTTCTTGACTGATTTCTTTCAAGCGTCGCTTTAGGTCAGCCTGTTCCCACTTCTTACTTTCCACGCTTTCGTTTAGCTTTTCCAACTTGCGTTCGGCTCGCGTCAAACGAGAACAGCCCTGCTTGTGCTCCCCAAGGCAGTCCTCGCAAAATTTCACGTTAGGGCAAAATTCACAAGATCCAGCACAATTGTCACAAATCGTCTCCTCGCATTCATCACACAGTTCCCCTTCGCGGCAGTCCTCACACATTGTCTTGTGACATTTCTTGCATTCACCCCCTTCTTCGAGGCGTTCGTCTTGTGACACCATTTCGTTTTCACAACACTCGCAGAGTTGATCATAGTAGTGTTCGTACTGATAGTGGGGCAACATTTTCAAGATGGTGTAGATTGCAATGAATGCTTCGAAAGAGAAAATATTATGAATTGGGAGTTACACTTTTCGTTCGTTGATCGTGAGAGCGATAGGTCAGCGAGTTTAGGTTTTCACGTTTCGTACCGAAACCGAAACACGGACATGCGGGACTCTCCAACGGTTGACCATAAATTCTGCCAAGAAATTGGTTCCAAGAAATGACGTATGCCACCCTGCAGAATGGATGATGTTCCACTGTCACATCCTTTTGTGTTAGCAGTGGTGAGACTTATCCCTTCTTCTCTTCCTTTTCGGGTCGGACCATGATCTTAAGATTGGACAACAACGACTTTTGATCAGGTTTGCAAGACTCCATGTATTCTTTCAAAATGGGTTGCTCGGATTCTTGGGCTAGCTCTGCCAGACGAAATGGATCCTTATCTTCCTGCTGGAGTTCTAGGAGTTGTTTCCTTGACAAAGAATTGGGTGCACTTGGGATGACGACACGTTTGGGCCACAAGAATTCATCCTTTACTGCTTTGGCGATTTCGTTTTCAATTTCCTTTCTCAGCCAAGGCACTTTGGTGATTTGGCCTCCAGCAACTTGAATGTCCATATCGATAACGGGAACCTCAGGGAAAGAAACTAGAATGGCTCCAAATCCCGGCGGTTTCTTGGTAAGTGGAGTCAGTTGGACTCGGACGCATCCCTTGAAGACTAGATTTTGGATGCTGACAGGGATCTTGATCCAAAGTAGTTTGGGAGTAATGTTCAAGGTAAAAGCAAGATTGGACTTCCAAACCATATCCAAGTCAAAAGCAATAGCATTTTCCAGCTCGTAGGCCCGAGAGGCTGTCAGCTGTGGAGCCTTGGTTCCCGATTCAAACGAAGCTAGTTGAATCGCTCGAATTTGTGGATTTCCCTTGAGATTATTCAGAGCATCTTTCAGGGCCTCTTCCATGGCCGAGGCAATTGTATAGGGCATGAGTCGGTCCAATAGATACTGAATAGGAATGAGACCCGGCACACCTACTGCAGCAGCATAGAATTTGGCCTGGCTCTTGACAGCATTGACACCATCTTGAGCAACTTGACGGGTCTCCAAGAGTTTCGACTTGAGTACCATCCATGCTGATTTCCATTGCCACTTCCCATCCAGCCGCAATGCCTTCCGGAACTCTTGCAGGCTTGCAACAAACAAGCCCCAAACATTGGAAACCACCAACCGGACAATCGACAAAACCTCAAGTGCATTCCGCTTACCAATGGCCGTTATCGCTGTCAACCCGGCTAGTATACTGGAGAAAAAGAGACCACCAACCAAAAAGGAGACCAATAATGAAAAGAATCCAAAGCCTCTGTAAACCACAGCAGTCGAAGTCAGATCTATTGCAGCCAACAAAGGATTGACCGAATGTAAAACTGGGCTTGGTTGGTTGCCTCTGAATATGTTGGCGTTATGCTGATGATGCCTTGAATGAAGGGAAGGTGAATACAATCCTCTACTCCATTGTGGAGAAGACCCATGTCGTGATGAATGATGGAATAATAAGGTTTCTGGTTCAGAATACTGATTGTGATGACTTCTCCTACTCAGCGTCCTGCAACCGAAACCATTGACAAAGGCTACTGGTGGATCTTTACGCATAGTGATGATGTTTGTATTGTAGTGCTATACTTGATCGAAATGAGACGTCAGAGTGATGCTTCAGAGTTTGAATGAATGAATGATACACTCGTTCTACAGGAGGTGTCTTACATACCTCGCTGTTCAATAGCTTTCTGATTTGCTTGAAGCGATGATGTTTTCAGCGAGCGAGGAGAGGCGGATGATGTAGACGTGTCAAATCGCGACTGTAGAAGTACCTTGATAAATGAACAAGAATGAGAAGAAGTTTTATACCGGTACGGCTAAGGCAAACTGAGCAAGGAAGAGAACATACAGTATGTAGATAGAAGTTAAAAAGGGTAATTCCGGAGTGTCCAATAATATATGTAGGGTTCATCCAAAAAAATTTCCCTTGGTTATGCATAACGTAAATAAACTACAACAGAGATCATGATCATGGGCCACCAAATAGAGAGAAAGCTGGAAGCGGGGGAAGTGCCGGAACACTCAATGTTACCCAGTGTTCCTCTATTGCTTGGTCCATGATTCCCAAATATCATCCCAGTACTACTGTTGGAAGCAGTCATAGTAGCAGCTCCATGGGCAAATATTACCTTCCATCCACAAATGTCATTGGATAGAGGTATTGTCCAAGACAAGTGATGTACATAATTGTCGGTTTCCTCCTCCATAGTAATTTCGAAACTAGATGCCAGAGACAAACTATCTGCAGTCGGCTTCACTAATTCGATAAACTTGCCTCTTAGGTGATATTCTTGAGCTGTTGTATTTGTCGCCACAATAGCTCGTGTACCAATCATGCGTGCATCCTTCGAGAGTCCCACTCCAATCCAAGACGGATATGGCAGGGTCGTGGAGGCATTTAAAACGATCGATGTGCCATTATCAGATATGGACTTCCGGAATTGCACCTTTTGGCCATTGTCCCTTCCTCCTAGCGTTGATGTTCCTCCGCCGCCCTGACCTCCTCCGCTTGCGTCTTCTGAGATGATCACTTTGGCAACAACTAGGATATCCACAACCCATCATCGATGATGACTATCAGTATACCTTTGATGGATCCTGTGAGTTTCAGAACTGTGATGCCTTTTGTGGAATCGAAGGTAGTGAGGAACCGATCATAACCATACTACGACCGGGAAGCAATCAAATTACATTGAACGTCAACCAACCACATCCACCCTACCAATATCGATTGAGTCTGTCTCCCACAGGCTTTCAGAATCCTCAATTCGATACCAACATCTTGTTGGATAACATTTCCTACCCTGGAAATTCCAATTTCAACATCATGATAGACATACCAGCAGATATTCAGTGCGATCCCTTTTGTACCATGCAACTGTACGACTACTACTACTTTGTTTCCTGACATGGGCAGAGCTGTGGCAGAGCAACAGCAACGATAAGGATAAAGAGGTTTGAATAATCATATTGGTGATTGGTTCCTATGCAGCATGATGAGAAGAGGAGCCCCACAACATCTCCTGTATGTTTGATGATGGTCATTGTGGAGAAGAATCACAAAGAGTGCTTGAGCAGATTTTTCAAATTTAGTGACAAATAGGACTGTTACAGTACTTTGGAGAACCCACAACAAACTACTACAGTAACAGATGTCCTGCAGCTACAGTACAGTAGCGACATAGAAACAAAGAATAATAACTTTTTCTTTTGCTACAACATACAGCAAATTAGCCTGTTACACGATACACAAACTACTTTCAGTGGTTTCCACATATTATCGCCAACCCATCATCATTCGCTTCGCCCCATTTAATTTTTTTGCGACAACTTCTTCATTTATAGTTGCCCAAAGCGCTGTCAGATCTCATCATCATTCCACATGGACATTTCACTTCTCTCATTACTTTTATCGTCGTCTCAATTGCAAAGCCAACAACAAGGTCACAGCGGCTGCCGTATAAAGGTGCAATCCCAAATTCCACTGCGAGGTCTTTTGTTGATTTGCTTTGGATTCAGGAGAATGGAATTGTTCGTACAGACGCATCAAGTTACGTTCCAACATGGCCACAGTGACCTTTCCCACCATGGGAACATAGACGACTCCTGGGACTTTCAAGAGGGCTTCTTCGTCGACATTCTTAAAGGAGGCAACATTGACGACAGTTGTATTCGGTTGGATCCATTCAGTGGGCATGCGATATGCCTTGGTGGGGACACCAGTCACAACAATAGAAGACTAAAGAAGACAAGGTGTCAGTGTGAGAAGATATTCAGTGCGAAATGAATCAATGAATGAATGAATGGCAATAGAGGAATAGAGGAATGGAAAGATGAACTTGAAGGCGACAACAATGTCAGCTTGATCATGCACATGCCGCATTCCTTAATCTCCAACCAACAGGCCAGCCTTCCATGAAAGCATCAATAAGAATCACTTCTTCTTACCATTCGAACACAAGACTCCGGAGTTTCCTCACACTTGTTCAAACGACCTCCTTGGAACTTATAAATGCTTTCGATATCGACGGAATAGACAATGGCGCCGTCGTTGGCCAACATGGCTGCCAAAGGACGTCCAACAATTTCACTTCGGTTGATGATAGTGATAACTTTTCCGTCCAATTGCTTGCCCGTCGTTTTGGTAGTGTCGTAGCAACCCGGACAGGCTTCCAGAATCTTGACCACGCTCAGTGCGGTACAAGGCAACAAACACTTTTGGGAATTGATGGGGTAGTCCAAATATCGGACATTTCTGTATAGATTGGTACGATACAAATGACACAATCCTTCTACATCACACTTGTGCGATACGGAATCTCGCAAATAGTCATCTTGACTGGCACCCGAAAAGGATTCTTCTTGTCCAAAAATGGGATAATAGACAATGATTCCGTGGACTCGGGGGTCGTCGTTGGCATCAATGAGAGCGGCTTCCACGTCAATGGGATCGTCTACCGTTCGCAATTCATACCGAAGTCCGTCGTTTCGACAAGCCCTGCCAGTCCATTCCGCGTACTGTTTGGCGGCAGGGTCCTTATTGGCCAACAAACCAACCAGCAACGGAGCGTCTACATCAACAGCAACAACAACAATGTTTGGAAGAAGGGTTCCAAGATGATGTAAAATTGTGAGGAAACGTTTGATATGCAAAATAGTATGCAACAACAAAAACATATACAATACATATGTGTGAGCATACACATCCAAAACGCACCCTCTCCGTTCGCAGTCATCGTGGAAACCTTGGCTTTTATCTCATCCCGGAATTGCTTGGCTACAATCCCAGAGTTGACCTTGACACCCTTTTTAGGGTCAGCAGTGATGAGTACTTCTTTTTCTACCATTGTTTCTATCAAATAGCTTGCAAGTAGTTTGATGGGATGAACTGAGATGATATAATAAATGTCTCTTGATGTTGTTATTGTCAGCTCCAGTCAGGATGTTCTGATTGTTGTCGGAAGATTCTGGAGTCTGATGGGTGCAGTCTGTTTTCGTCAGTCAACTCAGGGGAGAAGACCCGGACGTTCTGTCACAGGCAAAAGAAAATAATGACAGAAAGAAGTACTCTAGAACGAGAGATGCGGATCACCCTGATCGACCTGAAGCTTGTTGTTGTTGATATCGCTCTAGCAACGTTTCAATTTAAAACGTCAGGGGGTGCTACAGTATGAATCTATCATATGCAGACCTGAGACCCAAAGATCAAGTACAACTGAATGTGTATGATGATGACCGTAACGATCATCGATCGTCGTCACAACACGTTCAGAAGAATTCGAACAGCACCAGCAGCAGCTATTCCAAATTCAGTCCTCAACATACCAATCGTGCGACTGAAACTGATACAGTCGCAAATAACAGTACTGTAAATGTCTTGGCTGCTGTTCTTCCACAGACTCGATCAGCCAAACGACGGAACAAGTTCCGTACGGTTGCAAAGGTTATCAGTACATCCAAACAACGATTTCAGGCTTCTTTTAATGCTCGGACTGCACGGTCCGCCTCTTCTTCTTCCTCTGCCTTGACTACCAATAATATCAAAAACAAATTGTCACTCCTCGATCCGAAACAACAATTACAGAAATGGATAAAAGAACCTACCGAATTGAAACGGAAGAGAAATCTCAACATACGGTACAAATCTCAATTGGATGAAATGCGAGAACACAATCGTGGCTTGCTCCAACAAGTTCGGATGGAAAAGATGGACTTTTCTCATCAACGGCTAGAACTGGAACGGGAAGTTTTGGAATTAGAGACACGATTGAAGCGTATCAATGATCCCATCACCAGCAGTCGGTCCTCCCATCATTCAGAGGCATTATGGGTGGAAGACCACCACTGCGAATCAGGAAAGCATCACCATCATCATCAACAGCAACAACAAGTATTAGAGCCGGTCCGAACGATGAGACCGAGTATCGGCATCGGCACACCTCCTACTTCTACTACTAGCAATGACCACCACTTGTCATGCAAACACTTAAAGGAAGATCCCATGGAACCCATGGCTCCAATTCTCACGGATACTTTCATTGCAGTAAAAGAAGAACAAAAGGAAAAAGATGCAGTTCCAGTTACAGCGCCAAGTAGTTCTACCACGATTTCCACTCATTCCTTGCCGCAAGCAATACGGACGACACAAATCCCTCGAAAAGATGATTCCAAGCAAGCCAAGCAGAAGGCTGTTCCAATTCCAAAGGCCACGCCCATGACGCCAAAGGACCCCATGTCCAGTATTAGTAGTACTTCCATGGTGGAAGGTACTCGTGCTGCTATTCACAAACAAGCCAACAACAGCAGACCCGAGCCGCTTCGAGTCCGAAACGCCTTGTCTCGCGCTCGATTGGCCGCTGCCAACAAGAACAGCAGCAACAACAACAACAACAACAATACACCCAGTCTTGTTCCACCGATGGAAACCTCACCCAAGGATCCCTTGACCATGTCGTCGTCATTGTCATTGGTGGTGGATCCACAGCCCTTGGAAGCATCGTCACCATCACTGTCTAACAATCATCTTCCGCCTACAGTAGACAATAGATACATAATAGGAAGAAGTGGTTTTGGATGATGATTGACGATACTAAGAAATGCAATATAAATGACAACAGTGTACGAATATGGTTGTTCGAGCCAGTGAAGCCCAATCGACTGAGTCGTAAGTCGGGTAGGAAGGCCTCTATTATGCCCATCACTGTTTCAAAGTGCCCATGATCGTCATCACCATCATCATCATCGATGAGACAACAACTGGATCGAAATTTTTGCTTGGACTATTCCAGCAATGACACCATGGAAACTTTCGGTTGATTGTCTCCAATTTATTGCAGGTTTCAAAGTGGCAAAATACCACCAGCAGTGTTGAAGGAAGAGCGAATTGTAAAAGTTGAAACAACACATCCCTGATCGATTGAATCAATGACCGGGCCATATAGCTGCAGCTTCAAGGCTTTCAGCTGAAGGTCGTGGAACTTTGTAGCTAATATAGCTACGGATACTGGTTGCCTTGAAACGCGGGCTGATGCTATTGATGTTGGCATTCTAGAGACCTTGGAAAGCAATCCAAATTGTGAACCGGGGAAACTATTCCTACCACACTGCAAAAACGATAACAAAGAACAATGGGCAATAAATGATAGAAGCAAGACTGAAGCAAAGGCCTTATATAGGAGGGAGAACTTCCATCCTGCAGTACTTTGACCAAGAACCCCCTTTTGCCCGCCATCTGCTTCGGAAAGAAGAATCGAAACAGTTCTACACCTTGTGGGTGGGCACAAATGAAGGAGCAGCTTGCCGTGGACGACTCTCTCTCTCTCAAGTCAACAACACTACCGGCAACTTTCTCGAACCAGCAACACTAGCAGCATTGGAAGGAAGTAGCAATTGGTACGTAGCAATTCTGATAAACAATCACAGAAGCGGAATGATCGATCCAATACCAATGCTAACCGCACAGACGGCTGTTTTATTCTTTAGTGCAAAGGAAAAGCAAGGCACATCATCTTGATTTATATTGTCGTCAAAGCGAAACGAGATCATGTACACTGCCGTGGTGTCACCTGAAGCAAATGGTGGCCAGCCCACAGAATTGCTAGACGAAGTGGATGAAGCCATTTTCCGACTAGCAAACCAGTTGGAAGACTCTATTTCTTCCTCCCAGCGGGTAAATATGCTTTCCCACTTTTGCACTGCGTTTGAAGGTGAAGCAAGTCTTCCTCTCCAGACTGTCATCGATTCTCGTTTGCTGGACCACTGCATCGCCCTTTTGCAAGACCAGCAGAATAATATTGCATTGATTGTCCAAGTTATAAACGTTTTGAAACTAATGGCAAAAAAATCCCCCGGTGGTGCGGAAGCCATGATAAAAAAAGATGTGTTTCCTGTTCTTGTTGGACTCTTTGACCATGGCGATGGTTCTGTCCGTGATGCAGCGGGTTTGTGCACTTGCCATATATCAAAGGCGGTTGCCAAGAACCGCCACCGCGGTGTCATCGCAGATAATGTCATCGCAGATAAAATGATTGAAATGATTGGTATTGATACCATTCCACGGATGTAAGTGTCGCCTTGCTGTGCTCCTTTATTTCCTCGTGTCAACCTGTTTCCCTCATTCTAGATCTTGTGGTTTCTTTTATAGGATTGCGATGTTGGATCCAATGCATGATCTGACTATTCGTTTTGGTGCGATGTCTGTCTTGTCCCTCTTCCGTCGTTGCCATTCGCAGATAGGCTTTCAATCCTTGCAACCTCTCGTTCAATGCTTTGTCAATTTGTTGTCGATCGAGACTCATCATGATGATGATGATGATGAGGAAACAAGGCAATTGCGCCTCGAAGCAACAACCGGACTTAATATGTTGTTGCTTGGTGATGAAATGTTCGCCCAAGAGATTATGGCACTCAACACTGTTGACAGACTGGTGCCACTCTTGGAAGTCCCCCAGAACCGGAATTCTGAACATTCAATGCTCCTACTGACCCGTATCATTACCCTTTTCCATATCCTTGTGGACAAAACCGAAGGGGAAACCCGAGAAAATATTTGCTTTTTACTCCTGCCACACTTCCGATAGTGGCTACAACACGGGGACTTTGCAATCCAACGACGTATCTGTTGTTTTGTAGCAACAGTAGTGGTTCAGACAACTGATGCAAGTCAACAACTCATTGAAGATCAGGCTTACTTTCAAGCCATTGTGGACATTGCCTCCAATTTCCCCGAACGGGATGTTCGCAAACAAGCGCTTCATTTTCTTTTGATTGCATTTCTGCGTGGTACTAAAGCCCAAGTAATCAATATGGGGTGGCCTCAATCCGTTGATTGGAGTTCTTTCTTCCGAGGAAGCAGATCATGATGATATCAAGGTAGCAGTATCGCAAAACGTTCTGCCACTATTGGACGAGCTGGGCCTGATGGAGATTTGCGATTCAATACTTGTACAGACAAATACATAGCTACATTGCTATGCTATGGTCCTGGTTCCAATGTAGTTGGGTTGAAACAACCATAATTTACAGTACCAGTCATGATGCAATATATCATCCTTCCTGCTACACTTTGTTTCCACGACAATACAGTACTGAATGTCAATGTCAGAATTGTCCAACTACTAAATTATTACTGTTCTACCATGTTTTCAAACTCCAATCCAATAAATCACAGGCCAATCCAACACAGCAAGCAAGTCAAGTACTAATGTAACTTAATTGAATTGCATGGTGCTGGATTCGCGCTGGCAAGTTTGAAGGTTTTCGTACAAGAAGGAGCAAGCTTGTTGGTCTCCACGGTTGTGTTGGAGACACTCAAAGAACATTTGTTTGTCGTTGGCGCAAGCTCCTTGGAGTTGTTGTTGCTGCTGCATGTCTCCAGCAACCTCGACAGGCTGACCAGCAGCAGGTTGGCCACCATCTCCACTCATGGCTCCGGCAGCAGCACCCACCGCACGATGGGCAACGGCACTACCGGTACCAAAGGCCATACCTTGGGCAATGGTGGATCCAATACCGGAAAGCATGCCACCGCCACTGGATTGTTGCATAGGGGCAGGGGTAGAAGAGCTGGTGGAAGCAGGACGGGCTGGGGGTGCAGCTCTACGAACAGGAGCAGCAGGACGACGAGAGGAACCAAAGGAACCTCCTCCGCGGCGAGAGCGCTGTTACGGAGGAATGAATGTGTAAAGGAATGATTGGATTCGATTGGATTGGATTGGTAGCGATAGAAAGAAAGATAGGTATAGTCACAGAGAGAGAGAGAGAGAGAGATATAAACAAAACGGTGAGATAATTGCTTGTTGGGAATGAAGAGGAACCAATTGAATAACCATCCAACGATTGAATCTTTTCGCCATTATTCCAATCGGTCTCATCAAAGAAAGACTCATTGCCCAAACTCAGAGATCTCCATTTCTTCTATGCGCTCTACAAAATTTACTTACAGCCATGATTGATGAAGGGTTGAAAGAGTCTAGAGCTTGAAAGAAGAACAAACGAGCACAGATTAGCTAGTTTGTTGTTGTTTGTTGTGATCACGTTGGGATGACGAAGGGCTTCTCCATCGTCTGTCCTTGACTCGATCTGCTTCGATGGAAAGCAATAGGTGACATTTCCGGGAAACAGACAAACCCTCACGACTGCCGAATAATGACGTCATACCGGTACATGAGTGAGTCATCGAGCGAGTCATAAAACTTCACGACATCAGTATCAAGAGAAATGAAGGAAGAAATGGCAATGGCATCTTAGAGATATTGTACCAGTAGTTGCTTCGCTTCAATCGATCGAAGTTTCTTGTTGAGCTACAACCAAGCACAAGCATATAATACTACTAACAGACTTTAAAGAATTTCAGATCTTCTAGCTTTTGGCTGCCACTTTGCATAGAAGTTGCTTCGTTTCATATTCGAATATTAAACGAATACCGGGGCCAAGCCACTATCTGTTTTATTTGGTGTGAGTAAAATTGTAGGTTGCATGAGTTCTTGCTTTTGGCAGCTGATAGGATTTATTTCTTGCCATCATTCGATTGCTTCGACTTCATAAGGACTACTTCAGCACCTGACATGTGAAACGCAGTTTTAGTCGCCCTAGTCCAGTTCAATACTCTTTCTATCCTTCATCAAGAAAGATCCACAGTCAATCGAGCATCGAGCAAACTGACGAAACCATAGTCGCGGTGCGGATGTTGTCATTCACAATGTGATTCCGTTCTTGTGGGAAAATGGCGATCCAAGGGCATGGCCTTCACTGCAGCTTTTTCCAGTTTGGTATCGCAGTATCACATATTACAACACTCGGAGAAATGTTGGCGACTTTGAGATCTCGCGGAAGAAGACGAGTGTCTATCAGTCTTGCATTTGGGTTTTTTACAGCAAAATGCAGTTTGGTTGAACTTTGCGTATGGTACGAGATACATACATATATGTGAGTATATATATGCTGATCTATTTATAAATATATATAATCGAATAACTGGCACTCCCTGATTGCATGTCGGGCACTCCCTGATCTGGAGCGTTTGGCGCATGCCCGGTATGGTGTAAACGGATACGTCATACGGCAGGAAGCAGTATGGACATATCCTTTTTGGATGCGATGGCTTTTATTTTTATTTCGATGATAGCTGGAAACAGTCTGTTGGTCAAGGGTATGCTTTGTTGGCATCGAATGGATAGACACCGCTGGATTTCTGAAGAGGAGACAGCAGCAACAACAACGACGACGATTTCTGAAGAGGAGACAACAACAACAACGACAACAACAACAAGGCCACTGTAGCTGATGCAAATGCTACGCCCCCTTTAGTCCACTTGCAACCGACATCGACCTGAAACCTTGCTCTTCTTCCATGTTGCCTGAAGATCATTCCACGAATAATGGTAGCAATTTGGCAGCATATTTTGCTAGCTGCTCCACGTGGCGGAGGCAATGGGAGTACTCCCCAAGCCTTACGAGTCGGTTTTGGCTGACGCGAAGGAAAAATATGGTCTTGAAAGTGATATTGGCTGGAGAGAAGCGATAGCAGTTTGCCTGCTGCCCCTGCCGTTGCATCTGTTTTCATTGTTAGGAGCGCATCAGTGGCATCGAATTATTCCAGCGTTACGAAAGCAAGAACAAAAGACAAGGAAAACTAATTTGAATATGACAACGGACATGACTATACTTCGACGTTACTCATTTCTGCTGGATCTGGAGTCTGCAAAACAAAACAAAACAAAACAAAACAATAGGTAGGTGGGGTCACGAGCCCAGCGAATACTTGCCTTCCTTTCTCATCCGCAATGAAATACGACACAGTGCAATCGTTGATACGCTTTCATCTTCTCATCCGCAACAACTCCGACGGTGTAAATGCTGTACGTTGGTAGATATGCCAGTCTCATGGCAACGTAGTAGTAGTAGTATAATAAATAGTAAGGTGGATTGAAGGTTCACTCCGCTGCTCCCTTTGTTAGATGTTCAGTCCAGTGCCATCCATACGCAAGACGACGTGCTCCACCGAAGTTGCCAATGGCAACGACAGCTGATCACACGGATAACCGATAACACTTGCTCTTCCATGCTTGATGTTTGAGCTACAGTGATGGGCCAAAGATACTGATATTCTGTAGGGGAGACTTCCACATTGTTTGCCTTCGAATCCAATAGGGAAAAAATGAAACCTCCAATAGAAGACCTTGATGATGATGATGATGCTGTTGTTGCTGCCTTTGAATCCAACGAAATAACAGAAAGCTCCACTCGACAAGCTTGATGATGATGAGATGATGATGAATGCTTTGTAAGTGCACCAATCCGAAATACTGTAGAAACAAAGAGTACAATCCAAATCATGTCCCATCCCAACTGTCCTCGTGGACCTCTTGACTCGACGACCAAAAGGCCAGCATCAAAGAGTTGAAGGTCCGAGGGCTCATGATTTGGTTTCCAGAGATCCGGTCTACCTGGGTTCTTGCCAATCTCAGTTGCGTTTATGAGCCTCGGCTCGACCACATTCCCACCGCCGTCCCACTCAACGATTCGATTCGTTTGGGCGGCCAAACACACGATGGAGGGAAGCAATCCAAACTCAGCAAGCCATAATATCGACAGACCAATGCTTCCTACTTGACTCTAGTGAGTGACCAATCCACTAGAATCGCATAGGAAACACTGGCCATCCGAAGGATCCCTAAGGGAGTGTGAGAAAACAAGAGTACGAAGGGAAAAAAATAATACAATCATCCAGACTCGCAGACCCAAAATGCTGTACAAATATCAGTAAAAGGACGGAAGGAAAAAGTGGTGAGGTGGTAGAACAGAAGGTATATTCAATCGATATGGTCAAGCTTACCTGTAAACAGTAGAAATGCAAAGTAACGCCTTCGTCGTCGTCATGTCAAATTGACATTATGGGGTGGATTCAGATATAACTCCTCTTGGTGTGTGTGTTGTTGTTGCACACTATTATCATACTCTGTCTCTTCAAAAAATCGCAAACAAAAATAAACTAGAAGGATAAAAGGTGAGAAAAGAAGGGGCAAAATACGAATTCCGAATCCAATGCATACATCAATGAACTTACGCTTAATCGGCACCACTTATTCTTCGGTTTGCCACACGACGACTGAATCGTCTTCCTTCTTCCGTCAATCCAGATCCCAAAGCTGCCGTAGAAGCATCCTTCTGATCTTGCAAAAGCTTGGCCAATCGAAGGCTATATCGATCGCCCGATGTCCTCCAGCCAGATCCCAATCCGTCTTCAGGAATAGAAAGAATTGGAGATGCATGACTAGTGTCATCATCAGTAGTAGCAAGGATGGAAAGATCGTCGTCTGTTTCAGCTACGATCTCAGATTGCCTGGGTGGTGCTGCAATCTCCTCGTTGCTGACATCGTTGATCGGATCCTCGGCCAAGGTAAGGAAGCTTGATTCACCAGAGTCGATGTCAATGTCGATGTCGATGTCGATGTCAATGTCAATGTCGATGTCAATGTCAATGTCAATGTCAATGTCGTCGTCATCTTCTTCTTCCTCTGGATGTTCCACAATGACAGAGAAGCTAGCAGTGAAAGTCCAGTTTTGTCGCTTGGCTTTTGCCTTCCTCTTCAACTTGGGACGTTTGGCCTTCGACCTCTTCTTCTTGATCACGGCAAGATCGAAAATGGCACCGTTCCATTGCTCGAGATCAAAGCGTAGAGGGAAAGGATCCTTCATCAAGGCGGCGATGTTTGGACCACCTTCAGAGGCAATGGCGTCATCATTGTTGAATCCATCCAAAGAAGACGAGTCAATGTGGCTCTCGTCGTCTTCTTCTTCTTCTTCTGGGTCTTCAATAATGACAGCGAGCAAAGGAGAGAACAGTTGATTCGTTCGTTTGGCCCATTCTGAAATTGAAGTTGGAAGCGTAGATTGCTTCAGCTTGCGACGCTTGGAGAACCTGACCGAGACAAGGTAGCCAATTGGATCGTCCAGTTCATCTAGTGCAGCGGATCGTCGTGGATTGACTGAAGTCCATTCCGTGGAAGGATTTGGAATAGCCGAATCCATCTTTGATCGCTTGGTAGGTCTAGAAGAAGGAAGGAAAGCAGAGGGCGGGCTTCTTTTGTGAGGCCCGGGAGGTGTCCATCGGTCGTTTACCCGTTGAGACCATTCTCGAACCGAACATGGAATGATGCTTGGGGCAGAGGGCGGAACGATGGACAAGTAATCCAATTTGCGGCGCTTGGACGATCTTGCAAAAGAGGGAGCGGTGGAAGCGATTCTCTTGAGAGGAGCCTTGGCCTCTGGAGACAATGGCTCATCGACATCCATTGGATCGTCATCTTCAACGTTGTCGGGATGCTTCAAAGAATAACCTGTTGACAATTCGGGAGTTGCCTCTTCTCCTGAATCTCCTGCTGAAAACGACTGTGGTGGGGCGGAAGTAGCAGCTCGCTTGGCCTTGTTCTTGCTGGACTTGTTACTTGTCCCATCTGGAAGATACAACCGAGTCTCGTTTCGATTGAAGTCAAACCGGACATTGTTGATGGATCGTCGCGGATTGACTGAAGACCAAACTTTCGGAGAACGAAGAACGGACGCAAGGGCTGCAGATCTTGCCTTGTTGCTGTTGTTGTTACTTGTTGATATTCTAGTGTTGATAATAGTGCTGGTCATGCTGATAGTTGGTGTAGTTGGTGTAGTTGGTGTAGTAAAGGAGTCCATTCTGAAATCATGAGATGATGCGGTTGGAGATACAACTTTCACACGGATCGCCAAAATCTCAAATTTGCCTCCAAGTTTACTCCGTGCCTCCGTGTTTTTTCAAATTCCACGTAGTTCCGCGTAGCTTTCGTACCAGCCCATTGTTGTATGTGTTTTGGATTCAAATTCAAAATCGATCCAACCCCAATCAGGCCTGTTTTAGCTCTTTTCAAGAATCATTATCTTTGGATGATAAGAAGCTGGCCTAGGAACAGAGATGATATTAATAATAATATTATTATAATATAGGACATATAATGAGATAATTTTTAATCTGTCCGAGTGAAAACTTGCTATTGATTATTAGTGCTATTCGAAAATGCGTTGGGCTACACATGAAGGTATTCCTTCATCCTCGTATTGTTTGATTTTTCAATGGTTTTTTCATTTTGACTGGCGGTCTAGAACCTCAACAAACTGTGCTAGCTACTTACAATAGGGTTGGCACCATTGATGTCGGAGTCCTCTTCCACTTCCACTTCCATCAAATCTGATACAAAATATCGTGAAGGTCGCAACAGCTGCAGAATGAACTTCCGACGAAGGAAAAAACTACAGTACGTGGACGCTGGTTGCGCGCCTCATCCAATCATACGTGTGGTGGGTCTTCTGGGAAACCTTACTTGGTCAGTGAATGTAAATGCAAATGTAAATGTAAATGTAAACAAACTAGGAGGAGGGATTGGTGAAATATAGACTAGGGAACAATCGTGTGCTGCTTTAGAGGTGCCGAAGTGTTGCTGTGAATGAATGATATCGGTAGATAAGTACAGTTGGTCTTCTCAAGTCTAAAGAAATCACGTTATTTCAATAATATATTATATTATACTTCTAGTGACATTGTATTTTATGAAACATCTATCATGCCTTTGCGCTCGCTCGTCACGCCTATGTTCAATAATCGTCGCCTTCGTAAAAATCTGAACGGAGTGGAGATCTTGAGGGCGAGGATGTGGATCTTGCTGGGCTAGAAGCCGAGTGGGGGGATCCATTGATAGCTGCTGATAGAACTGTTCGCAAACCGTACAGTTACCTCTTCTATGGGATGGTTTGCATTGGTATGACTGGTCTGGTACTAGCAGTCGTAGCTGTTGTATCATATGAATCAGCAGAAAGAGAATGTGCCATGAAGTTCGAGATGATTTATTGCAACATAGTATTTATTAATAAAAGAAATAAGTGAACGAACATTGCGAGAAACTGGTCTGGTGTTATAATAATACGTACAGTACAGTACAGCACAGTACAGTACAGTACATATGCGGGCATCGTATGACAGAAAATGGGGCTGTCATCGCCAGCATCGTACCCGCCCCAAACATTCCAGAACGAATGCCACCTTCCACTATCGAGCAGACCGCCTTACCTGCATTCGGGTATCGTCGACGATGCGGAGCATCAGTCTTGGTCTGAGGTACTACAAGAGCAGTGACTACTGCCTATTTGGAAGTGTCTTTGCTGAAGGATCAAAGCAGGATCGTTCCTTCTTCGAGTACAGTGTCCTCCCACAAGTTAAAAGCGTAGAATCATACATTTCATAGAGCAACATTGTCCTGAAATAAAGTAGACTTCAATGTACGTTTCCATTGCGCTTTCCTCCAACCACCGTACCGAAGCATCCCAGAGCCTCTCTTGGACGATTCCTAAATGCTGCCTTGAAATGAAGCACTATGTACCATCATCTTGACCGTAGCTGGTCTTCTGTTAGAACCGAAACAGGCGATTGATTCCATTCTTGATAATTGATTGTCTCGTCCAAAGCTTGGCACACGGAAGGGCTCCGCTCTTTGAGATGACGATGATTGTTGATGATGCATGATTCGATGATTCGATGATTCGATGATTCGATGATTCGATGATGGATATGGATGCAATGATGGATGATCGATTGACTGATCTGCTCTGATCTGATCGGATCTGATCGGATCTGACTGACTCGACTACGAAATCGACTCAATCGATAAGTGAACATAACGTGATGAGAATCGTAACAATACGGTGACGGCAGAAATGAAGGTCCCAAAAAATTCTGTTTCGCATCGACTTCTTGTACGACACCGACGCCGATATCTCCGTCAATTCTCCATCTTTCTAAGCCAAAAGTGCATCTGTGCAATCTTCAATCCAAGGAAAATATGCACCTTCCATTATCGCTCTTCATCTGTACGATTATCATGTCGAGATTCGTTTCTGGAAAGTAGTGACATTCAGGCCAAAAATTGACGTTTTCAGCTCCTCATAACTTCATCAATCCTGGTTCATTCGCACCCCCAAAAAATGAAAACGCTATTTCTCCAATAGGATCATAGGATACTGGAACGGCGTCGTCTATCTCGAAGTTTATGAGAATCCTCATTTTTCCATGATGGGTGATGATGTCCGTTATGGTGTGGGTGATGATGAGGAGGATGACATGTAAACACTAAATTAGCCGCTCTCGACTCACCCCGCCTACCGGTATGTTGATTTGCCGCTCAACACCTGGCCTCATACGACACGATCTCAATTAACAACCAAGACACTCCCCTCCGTTGAATTTTAATATGTGCATGGTTGGACTGCTCTCGCACCAATTCAAATCATGAACGAGGAGTCTTGGAAGCAATTCAAACAGAAACAGAAACAGAAACAGAAACAACAGGAGAATCATCATCCTCATCATGAACCATCCTTGTACTACCTCTGTTATGTGCACAGCCCTACCTTGGCGCTTCCATATGCCATCGGGAAGCACCTGTACTTGCCCAATTGTGAGCCTTCCTCCGACTCCATTCAAGATTTGTTTGTGACACCCAGCATGACACCGGAAGAAGCCAAAGAACAAACTGAAAGGCACGGAGTTGCCTTTGTGGAGCAAGTCTTGAGTCCAGCCACCGCCTCCAATTTGCGGCAATACATTCTAAAAGCCAACTATGAAATTGAAGGTACCTTTATCAAGGAGAATGAGAATCGATTTCACATTATTCCTGATCCAATGATGGCTGCGGATGCAGAAGTCGCTGAATCGTTACCAGTATCGCCGTCTTCTGACATTCTTTGAAGCTCCCCAATCATTCGCTGGACTGAATCTTCCGTTACACTTTTTGTGACGGTAGACGAGTCACCAGCGTCCGTAATGTCATCATCCACCCCATCGAACTCATATTCGATCACTTCTTCGACAAAGGACGGCTCCACCCGCGACGAAATGGAACGAATGGTCGCAGAGATCCGTTTGGCTGCCAAGCAAACGGCATCAGAACCTGTCAAACCCAAGGATCTCACCGAGAACGAAGCCCAACAAATGGTCACTGACATCAAGGCAGCTCCTGAAAGCGAAGACTCCGAGACATCGAAAGAGCTCACGGAACAAGAGGTGCACAGAATGATTGTGGAAATGCGCCAAGCCGCTGAAAAAGCCGATTCCGAGGAAGCTGCCGAACGTGAAATGCAGAGAATGGTCGACGAAATGAAATGGGCTACTGAAGAACAAGTAGACGAAGAAGCCGAAGAACGAGCGTATCTCGAACGAAAACGAAGACAACGACGCCGAAAAATAGAGCGAAGCCGAAGAACGAGCAAGAGCCCAAGTAGAAGTAGAAGTAGAAGCAAGAGCCACAGCGGAAGAAAAAGCCGAAGTAGGAGCCACAGCCGACGATGAAGTTCGAGTCCATGGAGTGACAGCTCCTCAAGCAGTGAGAGTTCAACGGACGACAGTTGGAGCAGTGGAACCTCAAGTGGCTGGAGTTCCAGATTCCAGCGTTACGAAAGCAAGAACAAAAGACAAGGAAAACTAATTTGAATATGACAACGGACATGACTATACTTCGACGTTACTCATTTCTGCTGGATCTGGAGTCTGCAAAACAAAACAAAACAAAACAATAGGTAGGTGGGGTCACGAGCCCAGCGAATACTTGCCTTCCTTTCTCATCCGCAATGAAATACGACACAGTGCAATCGTTGATACGCTTTCATCTTCTCATCCGCAACAACTCCGACGGTGTAAATGCTGTACGTTGGCAGATATGCCAGTCTCATGGCAACGTAGTAGTAGTAGTATAATAAATAGTAAGGTGGATTGAAGGTTCACTCCGCTGCTCCCTTTGTTAGATGTTCAGTCCAGTGCCATCCATACGCAAGACGACGTGCTCCACCGAAGTTGCCAATGGCAACGACAGCTGATCACACGGATAACCGATAACACTTGCTCTTCCATGCTTGATGTTTGAGCTACAGTGATGGGCCAAAGATACTGATATTCTGTAGGGGAGACTTCCACATTGTTTGCCTTCGAATCCAATAGGGAAAAAATGAAGAAGACCTTGATGATGATGATGATGCTGTTGTTGCTGCCTTTGAATCCAACGAAATAACAGAAAGCTCCACTCGACAAGCTTGATGATGATGAGATGATGATGAATGCTTTGTAAGTGCACCAATCCGAAATACTGTAGAAACAAAGAGTACAATCCAAATCATGTCCCATCCCAACTGTCCTCGTGGACCTCTTGACTCGACGACCAAAAGGCCAGCATCAAAGAGTTGAAGGTCCGAGGGCTCATGATTTGGTTTCCAGAGATCCGGTCTACCTGGGTTCTTGCCAATCTCAGTTGCGTTTATGAGCCTCGGCTCGACCACATTCCCACCGCCGTCCCACTCAACGATTCGATTCGTTTGGGCGGCCAAACACACGATGGAGGGAAGCAATCCAAACTCAGCAAGCCATAATATCGACAGACCAATGCTTCCTACTTGACTCTAGTGAGTGACCAATCCACTAGAATCGCATAGGAAACACTGGCCATCCGAAGGATCCCTAAGGGAGTGTGAGAAAACAAGAGTACGAAGGGAAAAAAATAATACAATCATCCAGACTCGCAGACCCAAAATGCTGTACAAATATCAGTAAAAGGACGGAAGGAAAAAGTGGTGAGGTGGTAGAACAGAAGGTATATTCAATCGATATGGTCAAGCTTACCTGTAAACAGTAGAAATGCAAAGTAACGCCTTCGTCGTCGTCATGTCAAATTGACATTATGGGGTGGATTCAGATATAACTCCTCTTGGTGTGTGTGTTGTTGTTGCACACTATTATCATACTCTGTCTCTTCAAAAAATCGCAAACAAAAATAAACTAGAAGGATAAAAGGTGAGAAAAGAAGGGGCAAAATACGAATTCCGAATCCAATGCATACATCAATGAACTTACGCTTAATCGGCACCACTTATTCTTCGGTTTGCCACACGACGACTGAATCGTCTTCCTTCTTCCGTCAATCCAGATCCCAAAGCTGCCGTAGAAGCATCCTTCTGATCTTGCAAAAGCTTGGCCAATCGAAGGCTATATCGATCGCCCGATGTCCTCCAGCCAGATCCCAATCCGTCTTCAGGAATAGAAAGAATTGGAGATGCATGACTAGTGTCATCATCAGTAGTAGCAAGGATGGAAAGATCGTCGTCTGTTTCAGCTACGATCTCAGATTGCCTGGGTGGTGCTGCAATCTCCTCGTTGCTGACATCGTTGATCGGATCCTCGGCCAAGGTAAGGAAGCTTGATTCACCAGAGTCGATGTCAATGTCGATGTCGATGTCAATGTCAATGTCGTCGTCATCTTCTTCTTCCTCTGGATGTTCCACAATGACAGAGAAGCTAGCAGTGAAAGTCCAGTTTTGTCGCTTGGCTTTTGCCTTCCTCTTCAACTTGGGACGTTTGGCCTTCGACCTCTTCTTCTTGATCACGGCAAGATCGAAAATGGCACCGTTCCATTGCTCGAGATCAAAGCGTAGAGGGAAAGGATCCTTCATCAAGGCGGCGATGTTTGGACCACCTTCAGAGGCAATGGCGTCATCATTGTTGAATCCATCCAAAGAAGACGAGTCAATGTGGCTCTCGTCGTCTTCTTCTTCTTCTTCTGGGTCTTCAATAATGACAGCGAGCAAAGGAGAGAACAGTTGATTCGTTCGTTTGGCCCATTCTGAAATTGAAGTTGGAAGCGTAGATTGCTTCAGCTTGCGACGCTTGGAGAACCTGACCGAGACAAGGTAGCCAATTGGATCGTCCAGTTCATCTAGTGCAGCGGATCGTCGTGGATTGACTGAAGTCCATTCCGTGGAAGGATTTGGAATAGCCGAATCCATCTTTGATCGCTTGGTAGGTCTAGAAGAAGGAAGGAAAGCAGAGGGCGGGCTTCTTTTGTGAGGCCCGGGAGGTGTCCATCGGTCGTTTACCCGTTGAGACCATTCTCGAACCGAACATGGAATGATGCTTGGGGCAGAGGGCGGAACGATGGACAAGTAATCCAATTTGCGGCGCTTGGACGATCTTGCAAAAGAGGGAGCGGTGGAAGCGATTCTCTTGAGAGGAGCCTTGGCCTCTGGAGACAATGGCTCATCGACATCCATTGGATCGTCATCTTCAACGTTGTCGGGATGCTTCAAAGAATAACCTGTTGACAATTCGGGAGTTGCCTCTTCTCCTGAATCTCCTGCTGAAAACGACTGTGGTGGGGCGGAAGTAGCAGCTCGCTTGGCCTTGTTCTTGCTGGACTTGTTACTTGTCCCATCTGGAAGATACAACCGAGTCTCGTTTCGATTGAAGTCAAACCGGACATTGTTGATGGATCGTCGCGGATTGACTGAAGACCAAACTTTCGGAGAACGAAGAACGGGCGCAAGGGCTGCAGATCTTGCCTTGTTGCTGTTGTTGTTACTTGTTGATATTCTAGTGTTGATAATAGTGCTGGTCATGCTGATAGTTGGTGTAGTTGGTGTAGTTGGTGTAGTAAAGGAGTCCATTCTGAAATCATGAGATGATGCGGTTGGAGATACAACTTTCACACGGATCGCCAAAATCTCAAATTTGCCTCCAAGTTTACTCCGTGCCTCCGTGTTTTTTCAAATTCCACGTAGTTCCGCGTAGCTTTCGTACCAGCCCATTGTTGTATGTGTTTTGGATTCAAATTCAAAATCGATCCAACCCCAATCAGGCCTGTTTTAGCTCTTTTCAAGAATCATTATCTTTGGATGATAAGAAGCTGGCCTAGGAACAGAGATGATATTAATAATAATATTATTATAATATAGGACATATAATGAGATAATTTTTAATCTGTCCGAGTGAAAACTTGCTATTGATTATTAGTGCTATTCGAAAATGCGTTGGGCTACACATGAAGGTATTCCTTCATCCTCGTATTGTTTGATTTTTCAATGGTTTTTTCATTTTGACTGGCGGTCTAGAACCTCAACAAACTGTGCTAGCTACTTACAATAGGGTTGGCACCATTGATGTCGGAGTCCTCTTCCACTTCTGCTTCCATCAAATCTGATACAAAATATCGTGAAGGTCGCAACAGCTGCAGAATGAACTTCCGAAGAAGGAAAAAACTACAGAACGTGGACGCTGGTTGCGCGCCTCATCCAATCATACGTGTGGTGGGTCTTCTGGGAAACCTTACTTGGTCACTGAATGTAAATGCAAATGCAAATGCAAATGTAAATGTAAACAAACTAGGAGGAGGGATTGGTGAAATATAGACTAGGGAACAATCGTGTGCTGCTTTAGAGGTGCCGAAGTGTTGCTGTGAATGAATGATATCGGTAGATAAGTACAGTTGGTCTTCTCAAGTCTAAAGAAATCACGTTATTTCAATAATATATTATATTATACTTCTAGTGACATTGTATTTTATGAAACATCTATCATGCCTTCGCGCTCGCTCGTCACGCCTATGTTCAATCGTCGCCTTCGTAAAAAACTGAACGGAGTGGAGATCTTGAGGGCGAGGATGTGGATCTTGCTGGGTTAGAAGCCAAGTGGGGGGATCCATTGATAGCTGCTGATGGAACTGTTCGCAAACCGTACAGTTATCTCTTCTATGGGATGGTTTGCATTGGTATGACTGGTCTGGTACTAGCAGTCGTAGCTGTTGTATCCTATATGAATCAGCGGATGATCGATTGACTGATCTGCTCTGATCTGATCGGATCTGACTGACTCGACTACGAAATCGACTCAATCGATAAGTGAACATAACGTGATGAGAATCGTAACAATACGGTGACGGCAGAAATGAAGGTCCCAAAAAATTCTGTTTCGCATCGACTTCTTGTACGACACCGACGCCGATATCTCCGTCAATTCTCCATCTTTCTAAGCCAAAAGTGCATCTGTGCAATCTTCAATCCAAGGAAAA